CAGGGGAGGCAGGAGTCCCGGGGGCTGTGGTAGTGGCTCGGCTAGGGTGGAGGCAATCGAGATGTGTACGAGTGCGCAGACTTGAAACATATTTTGGAAGTTGTATTTCCAGGATGTATTGATGGACTGAGGGTGGGGTGTGACAGAAAGCATCCAGAATGAGGGGTTCCTGGGTTTCTGGCTAGAGTGGTGTATCTATGTTGGTGCCATTTATGAGATGGGTGAGGTTAGTAAAGGAATAGTTTCGGTGGAGGAAATATTTGCTTTTGTATTTTTGCCTTAATTCTATTTTTCAGTTTTTAATTCCTTTTAATTACTCTTAATACATGTCTGTTCAAATAAAGCTCTAGTAGTTCTGAATGCAAAACAAGTCTTTTTGGGAAAAAATGATGTGAATTAACTAGTTATAAATAACAAAAGTATAAAATACATAAATAATAGGCATAAACAATAGCTTAAATGTTCATACTGTGATTCCTATAATTGGCTGCATGTATTGGATTTTATTTAGCTTTCTGAAACCTTTTGTCTACTCAGGTTTTTTGGAGATTTGCCAAGAATTTATCTCCCACTTGTTTTCATAAGTAGAACTTTGTGCAAAGACTCAGTTTCTAAATCCATATTCCAGGAAATGTACTGTTTTCAAGGTCAAGATCCACCTGCACAGACACTACGTTGGTGCTGAGGATATGCTAGAGATGCTGCCGGCTCCATCACTTCTATTCACATCAAATGCTTCCAAAAACAAGCATTTTTATGTGCTGATAAATTTCTTATGTAAACTCCAGAGAGGAAGAGCACGTTGTGTGGGACTCAGTGGCTGCAAGCTTTCACAAAGAGAAAGTCTGCATAAATAAAACTTTTGTAAGCAAGGTAGATTTTATCAGATTCCCTCAACTGTTATTTTGAAACTTAAATGTATTTGAACAATTTAAACTCCTACCAGTAACATGTGACCCCCTGGCTGCCGAAGGACCCTCGCAGCTCTTGCGATATGTTCTATGGCTTCCTTGAAGAACACCATGGAATGAAAAATCTGGCAGAGGAAATGGGACAAATAGAGTGCTTACAGGCATAGAAAAGTCAAAAGTTCACTGCAGTTTTACATACAAGGATCCGGGAGTGAGACTGACGATTTTTGTAATCCAGCAACCTAGACCCAGTAAACTGGTTTACATTTCTGAAAAAAAATTTGCATAACAAGGAGTCCCTATGCCAGTATTGCCGTGAGCAAGACCAGGGGAGTCCCAGGCTCGAGGGAAGAGAGGAAGAGGAGAACAACAGCATCGGGGCTGTTCTGCTGCTGCTCTATCTTGGAGTGGGACTTGTGGTGAGGGAAGAGTCCCAGGAGACGGGGTGGTGGCATCTGTGATTCTGTCAGGGCCTCTGGTCCGACACCTGTCTGCCCAGGACAGCAGTGACAGGGATGCTGCTCCTTGCTGGTGCACTGGACATGCAGAGGCAGAGGGAGAGAGAATTGCAAGCAGACTCCCCGCTGAGTGCAGAGCCCGACGCGGGGCTCGATCCCATGACCCTGAGATCACGATGTGAGCTGAAATCAATTCGGACACTTAACCGACTGAGCCATCCAGGCACCCCTCTTTCATTTGCACACACGTCTTGAAAATATCTGTTGTGAAAGAAATACACCCATCTGTGTGCGTGTATAACACACACACACACACACACACACACAGCATTCCTCAGAGTCTACGCAGCACATGTCTGTATGTACCTCCAAAGACGTGGAGCTCAACTTCTTTTGGAATTCATTCAGTACGTTGGCAAGTTTATCATAGTCGCTGGTATTCCGATAGATCTTTTTCCTATGAGGCTTGTTTATATCCAAGAAATCCACAAATACAATTGAGTCGTTCATCAGTTTTTCTTTGGTCCATTGAATCTATTGTCAGATCATCATTTAAGAGTATGTGTTAAGAGCCAAATTCTACTTGTTATCAAAACTAATGTAATAGGTCTGTATCAGAGATGCTCTCGGCACAACAGATGTAGGTAAGCCTTGGGGGCTTTTCACCTTTGCTGTGCTATGGACCCCTGCTGGCGGTGGAGCCCATGGACCCCTGCTGGCGGTGGAGCCCATGGACCCTTTCTCAGAATACGTACATCTGGTACCATACAAGGGTTGCAAAAGAGACCGAATAGATTGAGCTGGAGTATCGGCACCTGCACTGCAGGCCCGAGCCTTGCACTAGGTCTCAGCAGCCCCACCTCCATCACCCACATCAGGTGTCCCGTGCTGGAACTTCCCGGGAGGCATCCAGGAGATGAGGCTGGGCAGCAGGATGACAGGACGGGTAAGGGGACATCAGGGTCTGGTCTCCGGGTTTGGATGAGTCCACCTCTTAACCAGCTATGTAACCTGGGCAATTTCTTAGCCCCTCTGCCTCAGTTTCTTCATCTGTAAAGTGAGGATAACAGCAGGACCTCCATTGCGGAGGTGTTATAGAGACTACGATGAGCAATGATATAGAAAGCTCTGGAAACAGTGTCTGGCACATTGTAAGTGCAACAATTGTTAGCCTTATCACATTTTATTTTTTAAATATGAAAATAAGCCAAACAACTGACTGACTAAATGAAGTCATAAATGCAAATTCTCAGAGGACTAATTGATATCCTTATGTCCTTAAGGAAGATGGGTCAATATGTCTTTACTCTGGGGTCTTGCAGCGGTTCCTGCTGTCCGTCCACAGGGCAAGCCGTGTGTCCATGAAGCATGTGCGAGCTCATGTCCTACCGCCTCTGCATCTATTGCTTTGTCGTCCAGCAAAGTCCAAAACTTGGACTGCCCTGCCATTTACAGGAGGGAGTTTGCAAACTTCACCCAGGGGGGAATGATCTCTCTCCAGTTATGTTAGCAAAGTCCCTCCCTTCCTCCCAGTTATCCTTACCAAGCACCAACTGAGAGGAAGGAAGGATGCTGAATTCTGGTGATTAGGTAGAGATAAAAATCAATGACTTTGTTCTCATAGAACCCACAGGTTAGAGAGAGAGAGAACTAATTACATTATAGTAAGTTCTAGGATAGGAAAGTCCACAGTCCTGGGAGAACACGAAGAAGGGACCCTCAAACTGGAAAGGGTGCGGTATTGGCCAGCGACATCCACTGAAAAGAGGAAGCACGAGCTCAATCTTGAAGGCTGGCCAGAGGGGACCCAGGGCGTCGAGGCAGAGGCAGGAGAGACCATGGACGCCAATGCCACATTCCGGCTGGGACGTGGGGCTGAGGTGCCAAAGTTTCTGGCACGGTCATGGAGGCGGGCAACATCAGGCCAGGGCACCGGGAGGTGCAGGGAGCACAGCAGGCAAAGCCTGGGAATGGCTCTGCAAGTGGTTTTGTGTGTTGAGCATGAAGCACCCCGAGCACTGTGAGCCAGACTTGGAAGACAAACCAAGGTCTAACTTTAGAGCTCAGGTTCTCTCTGCCGAACCACCCGTCTGCATCTGAAATGTAGACAGAAGGTCCAGTTCTTGCCCACAGCTTACATTTATAGAGCGCTTACTGTATGTCAGAAACTGTTCCAGACACAAAGGGGTGCCACTGATTCTCAGCCTACAAGTGGGTATGGCTGCTACCCCAACTTCAGAGATGAGGGAACGGAGACAGCTCCACAGCTGCTCAGGGGACGGGCTGGGCTTTGAAGGTGGGCAGGGCCCATGGGGGTAGCCTCTATATTCAAGTGCTTCTCAAGTTGCCGGGGAAGAAAAGTGGGAATGGTACCCGAGTGGGCTGGGGAGTCTAGTCTCTGAGCAGGGGAAATGGGGGAAAAGTAGGGACAAGAGGGGCCTGAAGCATCACTGAAGAGCAGCCCCAAGGACAGCAGGCCAGGTCTGAGGGACTCCACAAGCGAGTGGAGGTGTGCTGGTTTAGCAGGTGGGGAAGGATCACTCCTGCGAGCTCAGCGGAGACATGGGAGGGTAGGGGCTGTGCACTGACATGAACAATCACATCAAGGAGGATCTGGGCCGAAGAGCAGAGAGCCTGGACTGAAAGAAAATAATGATGGGAGGGTCTCGAAAATATTTTTTATTTATTTATTTATTTATTTATTTATTTATTTTTTAAGATTTTTATTTATTTATTTGAGAGAGAGAATGAGAGAGAGAGAGAGAGAGAGAGAGAGCATGAGGGGGGAGGGTCAGAGGGAGAAGCAGACTCCCTGCTGAGCAGGGAGCCCGATGTGGGACTCGATCCCGGGACTCCAGGATCATGACCTGAGCCAAAGGCAGTCGCTTAACCAACTGAGCCACCCAGGTGCCCTCGAAAATATTTTTTAAAAGGTTTCTGGATTTGGGACTAGTCTTAAACATACATATGTACGTGTACACACACACACACACACACACACAGGAACGCAGATCTACATGTATGTGTATATGCTGAGTTTATGTGCATGTCTGTATCTCCAGGTATAAGGTTCATACCCAAAAGTCTTTTTTTTTTCTGTTGTGAATTCGCTATATTTCCTGGGCTCCTATGAACAGGACGAGAGAGAGCAGCACCACCAAAGAAGACGGAAAAGGAAGGAGGAGTCACCTCTGGAAGGACCCCCCTAATTCTCTTGAGAGGAGCTCGCACCATGGCCTCATGAAGGCACTGAGCTCGCCCCTGTGCTTCCCCACCAGCTTGTGGTGTGGTTCAGTCTCTGAACTGCTCTCCTTCCTTCCGGACTGGGAGCCCAGGGGCTCTGTGGAGACCAAAGTTCAAGGTGCTGGAGCCACGGGGACTGAGCTCTTCCTCCAGGCCTGGAGAAACGTGAGCTGTGTCAGGGCTTGAAGGCCAAACGCACGAGCAAGGGCATCAAGACTTTGTCATTTCCATCCCATCAAATCCATGTTCATTTAGACATTATCAAGTGGAAAATGGGATTGTTAATGATATTAATAATGTTGTTATTATAGAAACGGCTGAGGGCTTTTAGAAAACAACACTTTTGTCTGAGATACCATTTAAAATAATTTTTAAAATATAGGTTTACCTGAAAATGATTCTCAATTTCCTTTGAGAGAAGTTGATAGAAAAGCCCTTTTTCAGTATATTCAATTAGGCGATCGTGAAACACTCGGGTGGCTTCGTGAACAAAGAACAGAGCTGCCATCTGTCTGGAGTTAACGACGACCTTCTCGGCTTGCAGCAATCCCAGGAGGAGCTGTTAGGGATTGAAACCTAAGGTTTATTTTGAACATCAGCAGGTAGTCTGTGAAGCAGAGGCTCAATTTGTGCAGGTTTACGATTCCATACAAATAGAAGCGATGATCTGAGGTGAGAATTGTCCATTTCTCCAAGTGATAAACTTGATTTTTGATGAGATGGGCAGGTTGTAACTCAGGGAAAACTGGCATGGCACACCCCCCTGGAGGGAAGGGGGCTAAGGACCCCTCGGCCAGGCCTAGTGGAGGCCTCACCGGCTCGGGAAGCCCTGGGTCCTGACCACTGGGGTTGACTTGGAGCCAGGGGTGCAGGTGGTGACTGGGACATGCTTCTTCATGCAGACACGTTCTAACATTCTGAATTGGATTAAAAGAACTTATAACCCATTTCAAATATGATAAGCACTATTTTGTACCACAGGTCCATGGCAAGGAGAGAAAGACCGAACTCAAAAATTGTTTTTCTTAATGTTTTAATTCTGAAAATTATTTGATCAAGGCTAGTGACTAAGTCAGCATGGTTGGCAACATTTCCTGTTATAAAAAGCAAGACTCGTGGGAAATGCAAGCATATTTATGAAATGCATACAGGCTTTCATTTTCTGAGAGCTGCACTAATATCTCAGAAATAAAGCAAAACCAAAAGCCATGTAATACCCTTGCCACTGTTTTCCCTGCTGAGAATCTCAGCCAATATTCTAACAGTCTGAGTGGCTTCATCACTGAATTCTCTGCAGGGCATTACTTTAATGCTTCTTTTTAAATGGCTCATGGGATAAACTGCTAATAAACAGCAAAACTCATCAACTTGGATTTCTTTTTCCCCCTTCTCTAACAACTGAATGTTGGCAGTGGAGAAAAGGGGAGAGAGAGAGAAAGAGAGAGAGTCAATTCGGTAAAATTACAGTTCCTCAACTTACAATTTAAAGTTAAGCTAGAAAATGAATTTTAAAACACACCTAAGGGGCACCTGGGTGGCTCAGACGGTTAAGCGTCTGCCTTTGGCTCAGGTCATGATCCCGGGGTCCTGGGATCGAGTCCTGCATCGGGCTCCCTGCTGAGCAGGGAGCCTGCTTCTCCCTCTCCCTCTGTCTCTGCCTGCCGCTCCCCCTGTTTGTACTCTCTCTGTCAAATAAAAAAAAATAAATAAATGAAACACACCTTAAAGATATCTCGAAGATTAAACAGGTAGTGGCATTTCGCTGGGGTTGGCAACATATTCTGACATACTTGATAGTAGATAGCGAGAGAACAAGATATTATCTGATCCTTACTTTTCTGAACGTCGGATGTGAAGTTATTGATGGAGAAATACATTCCCAAATGAGCCTTTAAAAAGAAATTTTATAGTTAGCCTCAAAGTTTAAGCACAGTTTCTTCCTAATTAATCCCTACTAAAAAGGAGATGTGTGTACTATCATGGAGGATTAATGACATTTAAAATGTTAGTAATTAGAATCCACTTTAAACCAAACAGACTAATACAAAGACACTGCGAGGGTCGCAAACCAGGGAAATTCTCCTTGGTCCGAGTTTGGTGAATGATCTAGAGGCAGGTGTTGCTGCACTCTGGGGACAATTTATGCCCCACCTGAGTGTGTACCAGGAGTGCTGACAACTGTCCTGCCCCCTTGCTCTCCAGGAGAGGTTATGAGATGGAATACAAGGTGACAGAATCATTTTCTCATTTTGGGTTGGTGTATGTATATATATTCTTCTACATTAGGATTAAGAGTCAGATGCTTAACAAGCTGGGCCGCCTAGGCACCCCTCAAATTTATTTTTCTCATCAAACTAGATTTCAAGTCAAGTCATTTTTCTAATCAGGTATTTCAGATTTTCTTATTTTGTATTCTATAAAGAAACAAGGAGAACAAACCAGGATAGCAGAACTCCAGGCGAGCTTGTTAATAATGCAGACTCCTGAGCTCCATCCCAGATATGCTGGATCAGGATCTTTGAGAATGAAGTCGTAGGATGCACATCTTACACACGCATTAAACGTGCACCCATGTATTTCTAATGCACACTGACTTATGTTTCAGTTATTTAGAGGCAAATTACAACCACAGGCCAGAAAGGGGCGGGGGGGGGGGGGGGGGGACAAAACCCATCCCCTGGAGGGAATTTTCTTTCAATATCAGTGGTTTTAAGTTTTCATGTCTTCTCTTATACCATGGAATTAAAATTCTTGTTCAGTAGAAAATGAACTGGCTGCATTACCTGGAAAATAGCGCGCAAGGCGCTCTGTGGAGGATGAGGCAGCACCAGGATGGAAAAGTGTTTGAGGAGACGCGGGCTGATGTGCCTCCTGACTGCTGCAGGGGCGCAGGCTGCCACTAGAGAAAGATCTTGAATGTTCTGTGGGAAGAGTTGAAAGGACGAATACATGCATCTGTAGAAAGTGAAATATCACCCATTTCCCAGCCCCTAGTGAAAAGAAGATTTCAATGTTTAGACGAAAAGATGATTTACCGCAAAAACAAAAACTGTGACTGCAATAGAAATCGATCTTCTTAGAAGTAACCGAAACCCTTAAATGCAATTTTGAGACAGGTTCCTTCTAGGAGGCTTTCTAAATGTCATCAAGCTATAGCCTGACTTGGAAAAAGCAATTACGGGACACGGAGCAACATGCTGAAGTGAGCGGAGGACTCTGGTGATGAGGGAGGGCTCAGGAGCACAGAGCGAGTCTCCAGGGAAGCCAGGGTTGTGTGGGTCATGGCCCAGGGACACACCATGCCTTCGGAGTGCTGCAGAGGTGGCCTCGGTCCTGCAGACCGGCTCATGGGCTCACGGTGGGCTTTGTAACAGGCCGGACCCCGGCCACAGAAACCCCACAAGAGGCCAGTCTCCTGGGATTTTCCCTGCCCGGGCTGCATCTGGATTCTTCTCTTGGCTGCGGGATGATGGGTAGTTCACATAGTCTGGTGTCTGAGCCGACAGGGTGGCATCCAGCATCCCTGGCCCAGGTTTGTCTGAGACGTGAAACTGTAATGCAGCCGTCTAATTCCACAGACAAAGTCAGTTCTGGAGCGCAGGGCTTGTGATTTCCAGAGAAGGAACCAAGTACGGAGACAAGTGCATTTGCTTTTTCAAAAACCACAGCCATTCTGACTGGTTCGAGGTAATGGAAACAACGGCCCAGGAACACCACCCTGCGAATCTGTTGGGCTGTGCAGTGCTACCGAACATCCCTGATCTGTGATCTTGCAGAGAAAGATGCAGAGCGCTCTTACACAGACAGTAAGATGCACGTGCTGGGGCGCATTTTCGTTAGCTTTTCTCCTATGTGTTCACTGCTGCTGCATAACTTGATGAGCTGTTGATGTGATTAATAATAGTGAGCATCTGATTCAGAAATTAAACCTACACGGCATACTTGGACTTTTCACTAACAGTGAATCCTACGGAGCTGTGTGGAATGACAAAAGATGTCTTCGGCACGGTTCAGGTAGGGTTTCTGATGTGTTCTGTGTGTTTGTCCTAAGTGTTTCAACCCACTCAACTCGGTTATGAACATTTAGTTCATTGTTAATGGGAACAAAATCTTTGTATATGCTGTACCTTCCAAGCGTTCTTCTCAGTGTTGTACAGACCTCCCATATCCAGTAACTGCCTGATCAGTTCCAGGGGTGGCTGAGCTCCGGACATATCCGGTTCTGGTACGTTCAGATCATCAATGAACAGGACAATCTTGAGCAAGACAAAAGGTTTTAAAACATATCACTTGGTGTTGCCTTTCCCTCAGTTACACATTAGGAATACTAATTACAGTATGGTGTAAGAACAAAGTTATATGAAACGACAGGCCTGTTTTTCTATTCAAAAGCAGCAGACCAAATTCCATTTTGAAGAGATGACTTTAGAAAACATTAAGTTTTCAAAAACAGTGGGCCGCCCCCAACAAGGCTATTCTCTTGGTACCTTTCCCTCAGGCTTGCCTTCCTCTTATCGTCATGTTAAAAATAAAACAATAGGCCCAAAATGGAGTCCCTTACGGTAAGCCCCAGTCCACCCAACCCAGTCTTAATGGCAGCTTCGGTTCTTCCAGAAAGGGATCTGAAGCCAGTCACTTAGTTCTAGGGAGGTCGTCAGCCATGAGAGATCCTGCTAACCCCAGGGGAAGGTGACATCGCCACAAGGCACATGTTGTCTACCAGTATAACTTGCCTCCCGCCCCCTCCTGCCCTTCTGCCTGTGAAGTCTTTCATTTTGTACAGCTCCTGGGAGCTCCTTTCTTTCTGCTAGTTGGATGCCTAGCAGATTCATGAATAAGTGAGTAAAGCCAATAAATCCTTAAAATTTACTCAGTTGCATTTTTGTTTTTAGCAGTCCCAACTCATGGTTGTGGGAAGAAAATGTGGTCAAATACACCATTACGAAACCATCTAATGCATTTTCTGTCTTATCTGGTCATGTTTAATTTAGATTCCAGGAGCTTCTTTTGGCTTTAGTAATTCCAAATCCATATAATTGATCAGTATTATACTGATCAGTATTTATAAAGTGCATTCTCTAGCAATGTGCAGGGGTGCTTTCTCTGTTTATGATTATTAAATAAAACAAGTCACATTATGGCTAGAGTGGCAGAAGCAGATTAGTCAACGGGATGGGAGGCGTTTTACCCTGCTGTTCTTCGGCGCTCCAAGAGTGTCTTTGGTTCTTCTTACTAATTTCTTCAGGACCATCTCCTTGGCTTTGGCAGCTGTGATATTGACACTAAAATTTATTGTTGAGACTATAATTCCTTTCTTATCACTTTTAAATGAACTTTCATCCATTCTGACTGCTGGCTTTTTAATAGGCTTATCTGTTATGCCAAATATGGAAAGAAACATAAATTTAGACTACTTTAACAGTATTTGTGATTTATTTTAAGGTGTTAGGAAATTTGAACGTTACATAATTTTACTTTTTTGTTGTCATTTGCAAGAAATCACCCTGAGGACAATTCAGTGAGAGAAGGAATACCAACTGTGAAATGTTCCCAATGGTTTCCTTCCTTTCATGTGGTCTGCAGGGCCTCTGAGAACTCTCTGTAGCCTACGCGCAACTGACACTGGTACCTTTTTATGACTTCAGAGTATTGGGATGTGCAAGATGGTATGTATCTACTGAAAGCACATAGGAGAGGTTTAAAAGCAGCATGCACCTGTGTCCACCAAAGGCCTCAGACTTAGGACACATCCCCTGAGAGCATCCTCCACAAGGGCCACTTGGGATGGTGCTACGGCAAATATAAAAGTAAAAACAAAACCAAAAACTCCTCTGGCAAGAACCTTCTGGCCAGGCAAGAACCTTCCTGATCTGCAGCTGTCTGGGGGCTGCCCCTGCTTTTCCTCTTCAGAAATGGAGTGGCTGCTCCCAAACCACTCGGCCCGAGTTCTCCAGGAGGATCTGAGAACTCATCCAGTAACTTCTCCCCTGCATTACTCGGACAAGCATGAAGGAACAGAAGAGGCCAACACTGCCTCCAGGTGCTTCCAGACTTGGTCCAAAGTTCCCCCAAGAAGCTGGGGTCCCCACTTGTGGGAAGCTCCGCCATCAGCACCCCAGCTTTTGGGCAGGGCATGGCAGGCTGAGGGGGGAGTGGGGATCTTTCAGGACTCTCGATTTTAAACTATCAGTGGAAATCTGTTCATTCTGAGATTCTAGACAAGCATGCAGTGACCTGATAGGAAGGAGTTTCACCCAATGTAATACGTACCTCGACTTCCAGTGGCTGTCTTGTGGGTTTCAGAAAGCAAGATGCTGATATTCTGCTTCAGGCTATTGGAATAAAAGGTTTTCGAGATTCAAAATCAGCTTGCTTACCATAGTAGCCATACGAACAAAATATAATCAAAGTATCAGTGTGTGCTGGGTTCTACCTCATTCTCCTACAAGGAAATAAATACTCTTTTTTCCTGTTTACACTTTCACAGAGAAGATCGTGCCGCCACTGTCACATTAAGTTCAACACCACAGGATTATTCTCAAAAACAAACTGAACAAATCCTAGCGTGTCAGGTTACTGGTATCCCCGATGGGTAGTAAGCCACTAACTCACTGGTCCCTTTATAAAATGCACTTTCCATTGTGGATGTCTCAACAGAAGCCCCTTCCACCTTTATTTTGGTCATGTCTTCAGGTGTTTCTTTGTAATGTGATTTCTTTCTTAAAATCCAGTTCAGTTTAAATAGTGAGCCTACGTAAGATTTCTTTTTTAGTGCTGTTGTTTATGATTATAATAATTCAGATAAGGAATGATTCCTACGGCATTAAATGTTTCAAAAATTATTTCTCTGATTTCTTACAGCCTTATTTAAGTGTAGTAGGATTTATTCCAAAATCATTCATGTAACATGCAGGTGACAGTGCTCCGGCGACCAGTGGCATTGGAAAGACAAGTGGGGGAATTCAAGATGTCTTGGGAAGACGGGACAGCTTTGACGAGTGCAGGTGGGAGATGGGGTGCAGTTTGGGAGGAATCCAACAGCATCATTTGGTTCAAACAACAGTGTGCTTCTCCCATATTTTAATTAGAATTAACTTTAAAAGGGGGGCAGAGCAAGATGGCGGAGGAGTAGGAGACCTGGATTTTGTCTGGTCTCAGGAATTCAGCTGAATAGGGATCAAACCATTCTGAACACCTACGAACTCAACAGGAGATTGAAGAAAAGAATAGCAACAACTTTCTGAACAGAAAAGCGACCACTTACTGGAAGGTAGGACTTGGGGAGAAGTGAATCCGAGGTGATATTCGGGAGGATAGACGGCGGGGGAGGGGACCTCCGTCAGCCACTTCTGGCAAGTGATAGAGCAGTGGAGCACAAAATTGGAACTTTTAGAAGTCGGCTCTGCTGAGGGACGTCGCTCCAGTGGCTAAGTGGGGGGTGGAACCCTCGCGAGACAGTGTGGTCTCAGGACCCTCGGGGTCATAGAAAGACCGGGGGTGCCTGAGTGCAGCAGAGCTCCCGTGTATCGGAGCGGGGAAGCCGGCCGCAGAGATGGAGCCGAGGCACGGGCTCTCAGCTCAGGGTTGCCATAAACTGTGATCCGTGGCCGAGTCAGGCCACTGCTCCTCCAGCAGGGACCCAACAAGCAGCAGAGCCGGGGAGACTCCCCGTCCTCCCCCGGGAGGAGCGGCATGGGAGCGCATCGCAGGGATCTGCTGGGTTTGGAGACAGCACGCGGGCTCGGGTGCCAGAGATAGAAACACTCAGTCACAGGCCAGGTGAGCACGGAGTGCGGCCAGAGACCGGGGAGACGGGAGTGACTGCTTTTCTCTGGGGGCGCACTGAGGGCTCCTCCAGGCAGAGATTGGGAGGCCACCATTTTCACTCTCATCCTCCAAAGCTGTACCGAGAACTTGCAGGGAACAAAAGCTCCCGAGAGCAAACCCGAGCAGATTGCTTAGCCCGGATGGACAAGGGCGGGACAATTCCGCCTCTGGCAAAGACATTTGGGAACCATGGCAACAGGCCCCTCCCCCAGAAGATCAGCACAAACAGCCAGCCAAGACCAAGTTTACCGATCAAGGAGAAC